ATGATAGAATAAAGACGGTTATAATAATATTTATTAATTTATTGTATCCTGTAAAGAGCCAATAATGGGATAATGTAAATGAAAATCACGTACTTTTGAAAATTGCAAATTCAAATGATCGGCTTTTTTACATGTCGGGGAGCTGAGTTTAACATTGCGGCTGGTAGTGTAGAAGTAACGAGTTAACGTCTAAGTGCCTAAATTCGAATCTCAGCGCGAATAATTTTTTTTCCTGTTTGGAAACACTTTTTCAGGCTCATAAATTATAATATTGCGTAACGTATAAATAAAACGAGAAAATATGCTCCACTAGTTTATTTGTGGTATGCAAGTTCATATTAAAAATAAATTTGCAAAACGATGAAGGTGCCTTACACGATTATTCAGAAAACTGGAAGTTACACGAAAAATTATTGATAGAAATACTTTTAAAAAAATCATATTTTATTACATTAGGTTTAACTATCGTCAATACAATCAATCGTATCCTCAGGATTAACATATTCCGGAGAGTCATTGTAGTAATCCACAGGGTTTCAGGAATTTAGGTGTCTCAAAACACGCATTTGTTTCAGATTTCTTCTAGAATATTCCGGAGACATTCATCTAAAACTAAAGGTAATCGATTCTTCTTAAGGAGAGCAATCGCTTGTGATCTCCCCTGTACAGGACGGATTTACTACAAAGAAAACAAACAGTTGCTTGTTGTCACTATCCATGAGGGGTCCAGCGCTTCGAAAAAATATGCATAACTTTTTCAGTGTCCGTAAAATGATTGTTTCTCAAACAGTCTATTGTACTAAAAAAAATTGTATTGTAAATTTCAACGTTATTTTTTAAAATATTTTATACATGTTATAATAGTATAGTTTTAATTATTCGTTATTTGCAACTAAATATGTACATGGTTTACGCAAACTTCCAAATGTGCCTTGCTCAAATTGACAGTGATGGGGACCCCCGGGCAGAAATTAATGGAGGCCCATGGGAGAAAAGAAAAAAATGTCATAATAATATTTGGTAAAACTAAAAGATTTTTTACGCGGGAAACCTAATTTTGTGCTTGGGGGCCGCTCAATACTTCGGCCCTACCTATGTAAGTGCCAAAAAAACTTAATCAAAACGCGTTTTAGGCGTTTAACCCCCTCCTCAACAGGTTTTTTCCTTAATTCGTTACAACAGTAGGTTTAATTATTGTTACTTTAATAAATCTAGTCATAACGACTCATATTGTAAATGCCAGAAAAATTATAATAATTCACACAGTCACAAATATTCTCCTAGGTGCATTGAAACCTACAGAAATACGTTTTATACTTTCAGAATATCTCACAAGGAACCGGAAAATAAATGTATCAATCGATTTGCTTCCAGGGAAATCGAATAAACTATTAATCACCTCTGTAGTGCCTCACACGTAATTCCTGCAAGCCTCTCTTCATTGAGCCTGAAATCTTACCATTGCCTTGGGGGTCATCCACAATAAATACGTAGCTATGAAGAGGGCAGAGGGGGCTTTGAGGCAGTGTGATGTTGCATTACATGTGGTTAGTTTTGTGTTACGTGCGCTTAATATTTTTTAGTTTTCAAAACTTGCAGAAATAATTTCTTTGATTTAGTGTTATTCTTAAATATTAAAATATTAACCAATATTTACGAATATAAATAAATTAACATCTCATTATGAATAAATTGTTACTATAAATGTAAATATTTTTTCATCAATGTATTTTATTTGAATCTGTTAGTTAAAGGAAAAATATTCAAAAGTTATTTATAGAATATTACAATAACGAGTTCTCTTTAGTTCATTTCACATCAACGGGCTATTTCCACTTGAAAAGAGAAAATTAAACTTTGCACGGAAAAACAATACTTCGATAATACAATTAGAAAATTGTATAAAAATAATGTACTCTTAACTTTATTTATAAGCATCATAACGTATCCCTTGGTTTCCCTGCCAACTTACGAAAATACAGGGTTTGTCCTAAAAGTAATGCGTCGTATTTTTATGGCGTGACTGTACGTCAAAGACTGGCCGGACTTCTTGGGGGAGGTGGCGGGGGTGTAAGCTTTCCGGGCATTACCGTGCCAGTCGTCTCCAAGCTCTTTGAGGATGTACCTGCGAGTTTTTTTGGTCCTTTGCACTGTGACCTCGTCGAAGGAAAAATGGAACTATCTCTCCATCAACGAGAGCAATCAAATTTGGCATGAAACTTAAAAAGACGCCACTGCAAACTTTTCAAATACTTCAGCAAACTCTCGGGGAAGATTGCCTCTTGCGATCCAAGTCGAACCGACGGTACAAGATGTTCCTGAGAGCGGAGAGGACGTCGCATCGTTTATGCTATCTGAGGAATCTTAAAAAAAATGCTGAGCCACTTTTGAAAATAAATTAATAATTTGTTGAGGCTTCATATAAATTACTCTCAAAAATCCAAAAAACGTTTCAAACTCCGAAGGCTTCAAATTTATTTAAAACGATCGTGGAATATCAATTTTGAAGCGCTTTAAGTGCTAGCGTTGACAACGAACGAACAGAAGGAAGGATAGGCAGATGTTTTGGCGTATCGAACTTTCGTCACCAAGGACTCAGAAAACATAAATTCTGACTAAACAATGTTTTAGAAAAAGTAATGTACTACATTTTAGAATAACATTTATCCAGTTTTCGATGTCAAGGCTTCGCAATAAGGGGTTTTCCGTCTGTTTTTTTTTTCGAAGCATTTCAAGACTTTCTCGGCACTACGCACGTATTATGCGAGGAAGTAAAATTAATCTTTATTTTTACAATGATAATGCACCAGTTAACATTTGTATAACATCAGTTAACACTGTATACTAAATATGACTGAGAACACTAATGAACTTCTTCGGCTTCTGGAGCAATTAAGCTCGTCTCGATCAAGTTTTTCGACTAGTTTCCCTCATCCATTGAGCAATACCGAGAATGCCTCTTGCTTTGTTTGTGATCATCAATGTAACTATGAGCACGTATTGTTGAGCTCTCCTTTTGCTAGTTGTGGTAGGAGACTAGTGCAAAAATCACCGTTTTGCTTCAGTATTACAATAGTTTCTCTACATTACGCAAGTAATACTCAAGAAAGTAGAAACTGCAAAATAACCGATGCCTGCTGTAAACCTTATTGCAACGTACCCTCCACTCGTACGTACAGCCAAGAATTCGGCACCGGGCTAAATCTGCAAGCACCGGCGACACCCGCAGTTATCCGCCAACTTACCTGCTTAGGCAAAATACAGCAGCAGCCCAATGTTTTTTATAGAATCGCTGCTCGTAGAGCTAAGAGAAACCCGCAGTGTGGAGGCTCTCCAAGTTAAAATGACTGGATTACGTTTAGGACCAGATGTGCTAGTTGACTGTTGATAAATTAAATACATTTTTCATTCATATATTTATTTACGTCAAAAACAGTTAAAAACAGTGTGTGACGTGCTATAGGGAGAAGTTAATTTGAAGTTACCTTTACGTACAGAAGCAAAACAAGGGGCCATCTCAGCATTTGCTAGAGAATCAGGGAAAGTGGACGAAAACCTGATCGATATGGGGGTCATTGACCCAGAAGCTGAAGTACAATACTTGTTACAGGCTCTTCAAAATTATACAATCCAAATGATATATAATACATTTAATGTCATTTTTAAAATTAATACTACTACCCAATTCAGTAAAGTGAGTCTAGATCATAATCTGTCAGAATGCCTGAGGGCAATTTTTAACGCTACTGTCGATTCAACCAATGATACTCCAAGAGATAACGTACACACATAACACACGTAGCTCACAAACGTTACACAGATTGCAGAGATAACATAAGCGGAATGATGACCTCAAGTTTTACATCGAGCCTTCTCTCGATCTTTATTAAAGGTTTTACATATGAGTAATAAATAAATATTTTAGTAGTTTTAAGGCATAGTGTTTCACTTTTGAAGCGAATAAAAAATAAATATTTTCCGGCACCTAAAAGTCGGAGCCCTAGGTATTATTATAAAAGATGATTATCACACTACAGATTAATAATGGACGAACTTGAGTAAAAATGCCGACATTTCTTCTCTGCAAAATTAAAGCACTTCTAAAAGATATTACTCGTATATTTATATGCCTTAAGAAATTGTAAAATGGAAAAGCGAGTCAGTTCTAATTCAGAAGAGATTTTGCTTGCATACCTTTTAGAAAGGTTGCCTACGACTGTCGTGCATATTTTTCACGTTTGTAATATGCTTACATCAAATAATTTTACATTTTAATTTATTTATAATAAGTATTTTATAATGCATTGCTGAGCTATTAAGACAAGTGTCCCTTTAAGATCACGAGCAGGAGGAGAGGGAGGCACTATCATCCAATTGCAACTAAATTTTTTAATTGACTTAAATACGTTAAATTTTTATGTTCGAATTAAATTTACTTTAATTTTTGGTATTAAAGCTCTCATTTGGATGACAATATCCCCATATCTTTTCAGCTTGAGGTTTGAAAGGGTTTTCTTACATCAAGGGGGTTAATCGAAGTATAGTGTTAAATCAACGGGCTTCTGGCCGTGCATATCCACGCTAAAGAAGGCGTTGCATATGAAAGACAATACTGATATTTACACATCACAATAGACAATAGACACGTGTAAGTGCGATAACCTTCCAATTTAAGTAATGCACTTTAAATATTAATATCTCTAATCAATAGAAGTAATTAACTAATTGTTCATAAATGTTTTAGATTGATGTTCTACGTAATCTATGATGTGCTTTTATTTTGTGTCCTTTCTGAATTAATTAAATGGTTTTACCCTTTCCTGTGTTCTGATTGGGAGTCGGGGAGTTTTAAGTCAAGATTGCAAATAATATACTGATGATCAACGATTTTTCGTGGAATTAACGAGTAGATTTAATTTACTAAAAAATATAATAATTGCATTAGACGAGAAGGTAATTGTCACTTCAAATTTACGTTTGTGTTCTGCCTGCAGATGACAATGGAGGCGAAAAACTGCGAAAAGCTCCAAGTGAACGCTACGTTGGAGGAGAGACTCACCAACATGGAAAAACGATTTACCAAAATAGAAGGACGACTTACCAAAATGGAGGAGGTGCTCCAGCGGGTAATGGAGAAAAAAGACATCTTAGCGGAGGAATCGTTGCAGCGGAACCTGAGCATTTTAATGCCTAAGGTGGAGGAGCTGCTCGCGTCACACAAGAGAGCGACCTCCACTGCCAGTTCCCAGAATCAATTCCATCCAGCACAGCCCTCTTCTCTAGCTACTACCTCCTCCACAAATCTCGCTCCATCACTCAACACACAACTCGCTGCGTCAACTACCATCGATGCCATGTTCACCAAAGGCCGCCAAGTAAACGAACCAGCCGCACTCGGCCCTCCAGCGCACTCCCTCCAGGGCGCCCCACCTTTCGCCAGCCCCTCCAGAGACGCCCCGAAGTCGCTTTTCTCCGCGCAGCCCTCTCCTCCAATCACGACGACCTTGCCCACTCCCACTCCCTCGCCCCCTCTCAATATACAACTTCCTGCATCTGCCACGACCGCTGAGATGGTCACGGAATGCTGCCAAGGAAATGTTCCAAACGTTGGCCCTCCAGCCCACTCCATGCAGGGCGCCGCGGCCTCCTCCAGCCCCTCCACAGACACCCCGAAGTCGCTTCTGGAGGCCGTGAAGAAGGGAGATGTGGCAGCACTGCGGCGCTTTCTGGCTGCCGGAAGTAGAGTAAATGCGCGGGACGAGCGCGGCAACACCGCGCTGCACCTGGCTGCGAGCAACGGCCGCACGGAGCTGGTGGACGTGCTGATTGCGAACGGAGCGGGCGTGGACAACTGGGCTAACCAGCGTCGCACCCCGCTGCACTGCGCGGCCGCCAACGGGTACTCAGCGACGGTGGCGCGCCTGGTGGGCGTCGGGGCGGCAGTGGAGGCGCGCGACGCCCGGGGCGCCACCGCCGTCGCCCTCGCCGCCCGAGGAGGCCACG